GGGCCCACACGTGGCGGCGCTGCCAGGCAGCAGCTGGGCCTCTCCCCCACAGCCGCCTCCTGGGAGCTCCCTGGCGCCCCACAACCGCCACCTGGGGAGACCCTGGTGCCCCATAACGCCACCTGGGGAGCCCTTCCTCTCCACCACCTCCTCCTGGGGGACCCCTCCCCCCACGCCCCCCTCTCTATGCCCCCCATCTGTGGGCCCATCTCCTTCCTTCATTATAGAGGCCCTTGGGCCCCCAGGGAGGGCCTCTGGCCCCCAGACTGAGGTCGGCAGGCGTCCACAGGCCCCCTCTGGGCGCCCCCCGGGACGCCCCCACCGCACGACCCCGCGGACGCCCTCCAACTGGGCCTCGGGCTGCGGCCGGACACGGGGCGTCCTGGCGCCCCAGACGCCTAAGCGCGTCGGCCAAGCCTGGTGCCCCCGGGGCCCGCCCGGCCCTGCCGGAGGACGCGGGTCTCGCCGGCCGCCAGGACCCTCCGAAACGCCGCCACGTGCAGACGAGAAACTGCTCTGAGCCAGCCATCCCCGCCGCAGTGTCATTTGCGGGAAACTCGAATGAGTCTTCGGGGACCCACAGCCCCACCGAGGGTGCCCTGGTACCTCAATGCGGCGGGGCTCTCGCCCCCTCCGGCGCCATCCTGACCCCGCCTCGGGGGACTCCCCAACCCCGGCGCGATGCCCCTCGAGGCCTTTCTGTGGGTGGTTCCCCGACTGCGCGGGGGGCGGTGTGGGGGAGCTGGGCCGCCCGCGGCAGTGGGGCTCAGCCGGCCCCTTGCTGCTCCTGCTGGCTCGCCTGGGCGCCCCCCCGCCGAGGACCCAGCCAGCCTGGGCGGGCACGGGGGCAGCGGCCGCCCTGTCCGGGCTCCTGGCTCTGGCAGTCATTTCCCTGCTGGTGCAGCCTGCGCTTCTCAGACCAGTCCTGGAGCGCCCTGGCCCTGGTGACCGCTGCCCAGCCTGGCGCTCGTCTTGTGGGTGACCGGTCCAGGCCCCCACGGCGTCCACGGCTGTGCCCTCGGAGCCAGGCCGTGCCAGGGGCCTGAGAGACAGAGGCGGCGCCCGGCAGCCGAGGCAGACGTGGAGGCGCCTGCGGCCGGCAGCCCGCGCTCTGGACCTCTGGGACAAGCGACTGGGCCCTGACCCGGCGTCCAGGAGGGCGGGCGCGGGGGCGTGTCAGGCTGGTGGAGACGGGCCTCCCGCCTGGCCGCTGAGTGCCTCCTGGGCCTCCACCAGCCCCATCTGCCCACTGCAGGTGCCGCCGTCCACTCCACACCAGAAACCCCACTGTCCCCCCTGGCCAGCCCACAGAGACTCCTGACCAGCACACCTCTGGCCACCTAGCGTGCCTGGTGCGGGGCGGAGGGTGTAGAGCTGGAGCACGGGTCCAGCCAGCCCCAGGGAGTCTGTCCCCACAGAGAGAGGCCAGGCGAGGAGGCCTGCGGTCAGCCAGACGTGGCCCTGCCCCGTCTCCTCCACAGCTGGGCGCGGACCGAGCCACCTGACCTTGGGGAGCTCATGTGCAGCCCACGGCCCAGCCAGGGTGTGCACCCCTAGAGCGGGGTTGGGGAGATCTAGCGAGGTGGGGAAGGGGAGTGGGTACACAGGGGCTGGGAGAGGGCAGAGGGGTGGGATCAGAGGGGCGGCTTGTTTCATCACCACTGGCCGCCGCTGGGCG